CACCGAATTGATTGACAGCTGCGCGCATTAACATGTTCCGGTAGTCGCGTGTATATGTCAACAAGACCAGGCAGACATACGCAAAGCAACCGGGAATAAAAGGTCTGTTCTGTTCGCTAGGATCAGCAATCATCATCAAATGTGATTAAGAGTAAGTTTCACATGTTTAAAGTGTTTTAAAACAGAGTATTTGTGTAATTAATTACAGCGTTTTACTTCAGCTTTACTTCATCAGCACAGCCGCGTGTCAGAACAATTATAAAAGAAGACGCTTCAATCCCGGTTTGTGGAAGTTAAATCAGGTTTATTTTGTACATTAGCATAACAGATATTCACACAGTACTTGAGGTTAGCCTTAACTAAGCTAAGCGCGCTCTGTCTGCCTGCCTGCCTGCCTGTGTGTGTGTGTGTGTGTGTGTGTGTGTGTGTGTGTGTCATCTGCGGTGTGCGTGTGCGCGCGCGCATTAACTTTGTAACGATATTGTGTGTGACTCATCAATGCAACTTCACAATACTGATTAGTAAAGGTTATTTCTTAATGTAGTATCTCACAAACGCTATGTGAGACCTTCTTCCTTTAAGTCTGTCTGTTGTCTGACGCAGCTGAGGGAGGAGACATGTAGAAATAGTAGGCAGGAAAGACTCGTCTTAAAGGCGCAGTACGACAAAACCACCCCCTGCTGGAAATCAGTATAAAACAGCATCTTGTAAAAGGTATAATGAAAAATCTGATGGGTATTTTGATCTGAAACTTTATATACACATTCTAGAGACGCAAAAGACTTATATTAAATCTGAAAAAAAGGGTAAGTGCCCTTTAAAACATTTGATTAAACTCCTTTATGGTAAGGTGGTAACTGACTTGAATGAACTGAATTTGAAAAACACTGTAGTAAATAGTTATAAGAGTGTATATCTCCATTTGCATTCTTTCTGAGAAAAACAAAACCATATCCTTTCCATGTGTGGTCACAGTAAGGATAATCATTTAGTGGTAGGTCATGTCTGTGCTGTTAGCATTATTTTAGTGACAAAGTGTGTCTTATAGTAGGCTATTGGTATACCCAGACTGTTCTCAGTCATGGTAGGCGATAGGTGAAGTTAGGACTGAGTAATGATTTACAAAATGATTAAACAGTAATGACTGCTATCAACTGGGGAAACTAAATGTAATGTATTATATTGCTTTTATAAATAGTTATATAGTTAGTTTTTATAATTTGTTGTAAATAGCCAGAGAGAGCTTTACATTTGTTGTAATCGTATTAATGTTTTATTGTTAAATACAACGCAGGTCCCTCCTACATCATGTCCAGCCACTAGCAAGCTGGATCTGGATTTTGTCTGATAGTGAATTGCGAAAGCGGCCCGTTCATATACTCTCATAGAGAGCAGACACACAGAGGTAAAGGTTTACAGTGTCAGGAGAACATTTGATGACTTTAACAATGCACTTAGGAGTGATAATCTGTCTAGTGGTCGGTGTAGTCTGTTCTGCAGTGGTGGATCAGAAACTGTCCAGGAACAGCAGCTGGACTGGAAAGCTGTTAGTGGTGCCCATGGATGGAAGTCACTGGACAGGGGTGAAGGCCGTGGCAGAAGAAATGGGACGTAGAGGACACACTGTGATTGTGGTGATTCCAGAGATCAGCATGCGCTTGGGTCCAGGCAAACACTACATCACTAAGAAGTTCCCGGTCCAGTACAAGCAAGATTTAATCAACCAGATCATGGTGGAACATGTTAATGAAGTGGCAGCTTCCGAGCAATCCTTACTGAAAACTGTGACTTCAATTATGTATCGTTTTGGAAAGATTATTGACCATTTCATCTCTACATCTGAGAGTCTGTTCCAGGAGCAGGAGCTTATAGAGTTTCTGAGAGATCAAAACTTTGATGCTGTTTTAACTAATCCTGCTATGCCAATGGGAGCCATATTGGCTTACAACCTATCTGTGCCTGCAGTGTACATGCTAAGAGGAATAATGTGTGAATCGAAAGCCACAGCGTGTCCGAACCCACCCTCTTATATTCCACGTTTCTTCACGCAAATCTCAGACCGCATGACTTTTAGTGAGCGTGTAATAAACACACTTGTAAGTTTGCTGGAACCACTGATGTGTAGGCTTATGTTGGGTAGTTTTGAGGAAATGACGTCCAAATTTCTGCATAGAGATGTGTCCATAACTGAGATCCTGAGCACTGCTGCTGTTTGGTTGATGCGATATGATTTCACCCTGGAGTTTCCCAAACCCCTGATGCCCAACATGATTACAATAGGAGGAATTAACTGTGAGGTTAAGAATCCACTGACGAAGGTGAGCATCACTATCATACTCATTACAGATAGTAGGTAGTGGGTGACCAAAACACTAATTGCTAATAGATAGACAGCAGTAATGATTTTTCTAAGGCGCATTTGTAAAAAATACTTACATTTCTTAATTTAACTAAGTATGGTCTAATTATGGCTTAGTCTTGTGGAACTGGGCCTTAGTGTTTAAGGGGTTCAGAGATTACTATTTTAGTAGTTTTTGCTCTCATGATGTTCGAGTGGGGGGGACCATATCTTATGATTTGTCAAGCTTCTGATTCCATCATGTTGGCCGGTCATCTACTACTAGTTAAACAATAGTTGAATATTCAGTTTTCCTACCTTATGCTGTTTGTTATTCTATAGAAGAACTTTTCTCTGATTGGGCCTGGTTTTTCACAGTTTTATTTTCTCCATTCTGTCACCTGATGCAGTTTAGGTTGTTTGCCACTGTCACGTTTGGCTTGTTTGTTTAGGGACTGAACGTCACAAAACTTGATGAAAATCTACTGATTTTCAGTATCAAGCTGACACCAGCTTGATTAAATTCAATTGTTTGTTCTCATCTGAAGAGCTATTTACTTCTGTGGAGCTTCTCTACAACCGAATCACATCTTACAAGGTCAGCGCTGAACTAAATCAACACTTTACTCTCTAAAGCTGAAAAAGATGTGATTTTTGTAAAACTGCATAGTCCTGAAGTGAGCTCAATGCTAATGTGATAAAACTGACCTCATCTGAACAATAACCCTGTTGTCTTTTATGTCTGCTTTTTAGCTAGGACTTATTGTAAAACCCTAAACAAAAAGGTGATGAGGTTAAAATAAGTCTTGATTAACTTGCTTCTTCGTGAAGCTTGATTGTCACTTTGAACAAAGTTCAAATTTCAGAAAGGTTTAGCACTGCCAATAATGACTTTTACAATGGTCATTTTTAATTATTTACCCAGAAAGAACCGTGTGCAAGTGCAACTGGTCAAATTTGGTATAAAAAGGTAATTTGGTCAAGTCAGAATTACCCAATTTTGTTTTGAGTAACGCAGTAACGGTCACACAAACATTCTGGAAAATCCTGTTAGGGTAATATATCACAAAAAATGCTGAAGTCCTGACAAAGAAAAATTGGCAGTGCCAAACTTGATTTGCATTCAATGAACAATGCTTGTTTATGCAAGGGCATATATATATATATATATATGGCCTTATGGCACGGTGCTCCATCGTGCTGGAAAATGCATTGTTCTTCACCAAACTGTTATTGGATTGTTGGAAGAAGTTGCTGTTAAAGGGTGTTTTGGTACCTTTCTTTATTCATGGCTGTGTTTTGGGCAAAATTGTGAGTGACCCCACCCCCTTGCATGAGAAGCAACCCCACACATGAATGGTCTCAGGATCATAACACAGGACTGATGGTAGTGCTCACCTTTTCTTTTCCGGACAAGGTGAGAAAGGTAGCAAAGAAGCCACTTCTCTCAAAAAAAAAAAAAAAAAAAAACATCAGGGACAGATTGGTCTTCTGCCAAAAGTATGGCGAATGGACTGCTGAGGACTAGGGCAAAGTCATATTCTCAGATGAAACCCCTTTCCGATTGCTTGGGGCATCTGGAAAAAGGCTTGTCCGGAGAAAAAAAGGTGAGCACTACCATCAGTCCTGTGTCATGCCAACAGTAAAGCATCCTGAGACCATTCATGTGTGGGGTTGCTTCTCATGCAAGGGGGTGGGCTCTCTCACAATTTTGCCCAAAAACACAGCCATGAATAAAGAATGGTACTCAAACACCCTCCAGTCGAATTGCAGAGGTCCTGAAAAAGAAGGGCCAACACTGCAAATACTGACTTTTTGCATAAATGTCATGTAATTGTTTATAAAAGCCTTTAAAACGTATGAACTGCTTGTAATTATATTTCAGTACATCATAGAAACAACTGAAACAAAGATCTAAAAGCAGTATAGCAGCAAACTTTGTGAAAACTAATATTTGTGTCATTCTCAAAACTTTTGGCCACGACTGTATTTTTCAACTCTGTTCATGCAGACTCATCTTCCAGAATGTTTAAGTTGTCTCGCTAATTGAAACACTTAATTCAACAAATATTCAGTGAGGTGCTAATGGAATTAAATGGAATAAATTTGCGAAACACTGTAGTAAATAATTGCAAGAGTACATTTTCATTTGCATTCTTTGTGAGAAAAACAAAACTGTATTTTTTTATGTGTGCGGTCAGTTTAATTAGGATAACCATTTAGGGACTTTTTTTTGATAAGTTATACGGCTGCTAAAAGAATAGCAAAGTAGGTCATGTCTGTGCTGTAAGCATTATTTTATGGGTTATACCCAGACTGTCTTTATGTCATGGTAGGCGATAGGTGAAGTTAAGACTGTGTAATGATTTACAAAATGATTAACCAGTAATGACTGCTATCAACTGGGATAACTAAATGTAATGTATTATATTGATTTTATACACAGTTATAAGCTTAGTTTTTATTATTTGTGATGTAAGTAGCCTGAGAAAGCTTTACATTTGTTGTAATCGTATTAATGTTTTATTGCTTAATATAACGAAAGTCCCTCCTACATCATGTCCAGCCACTAGCAAATGGATCTGTGGATTTTGTCTGATAGTGAATTGCGAAAGCGGTCAGCTCATACACTCTCATAGAGAGCAGACACACAGAGGTAAAGGTTTACAGTATCTGGAGAACACTTCATGACTATAAATATGCACTTAGGAGTGATATTCTGTCTAGTGGTCGGTGTAGTCTGTTCTGCAGCGGTGGATCAGAAACTGTCCAGGAAGAGCAGCTGGACTGGGAAGCTGTTAGTGGTGCCCATGGATGGAAGTCACTGGACAGGGGTGAAGGCCGTGGCAGAAGAAATGGGACGCAGAGGACACACTGTGATTGTGGTGATTCCAGAGATCAGCATGCGCTTGGGTCCAGGCAAACACTACATCACTAAGAAGTTTCCGGTCAAGTATGACCAGAAGTTGTTTAATGAGGTATTGACTGAACATGTTCATGAAGTGACAAATCCAGGACATTCCCGTTTGAAGACTGTGACTTCAACAATGGCTAATTTGTTGAAGATGTTTAATATGATGGCCTCAACAAGTGAAAGTCTGTTCCAAGACAAGGAGCTTATAAAGTTTTTGAGAGATGAAAACTTTGATGCGATTTTAACTGATCCTGCTTTACCAATGGGAGCTGTATTGGCGTATAATTTTTCTGTACCTGCAGTGTACATGCTAAGAGGAATGCCATGTGCTCTTGATGCTACGGCCACAGCCTGTCCAAACACTCCTTCATACATCCCACGTTTTCATACAGGAAACACTGACCGGATGTCTTTTGGTGAGCGTGTAATGAATGTGCTCATGAGCATTCTGGAACAAGTAGCATGTAAAGTTATGTACTGGTCTTTTGAGGAAGTGACGTCCAACTTCCTGCAGAGAGATGTGAGCCTGACTGAGATCCTGAGCACTGGAGCTGTTTGGTTAATGCGTTATGATTTCACACTAGAGTTCCCCAAACCCCTGATGCCCAACATGCAGTTCATAGGTGGAATTAACTGTGGAGTTAAGAACCCACTGATGAAGGTGAGCATCACTCGTATTCTCATTACATGATATTTCAAGGTCTAGGATAAGTTTATGCGACAACGATGTAGCCAAAATCTAAAAACATTTTTCCCTTGAGTTTTAAAAAGTGTACATGATATTTTATTCAATAATTGACAGATCTATAAAAATAGCCAAAAATATGCATGACGTATGTCAGGCCAGTATTTGGCGCTATCACCTTGTTTGTAAACAGTACCTGTGAGGAAGGGACACTGCTGGTGTGTATGTATAATTTGCAGTGTGTGTAAGATGTGTCTTTGTTTTTGATTGTATTGTGAAGTAAATCCACACTTTGCTCATGGATTTATAGCAAACCCTTGAGCAACAACGCTGCCATATACTCCACTATTGGGATAGGTTTGTTTACGCTTGCCTTTAATCTTCACTCCACTAAAAACCTACTATCTACACACATGACATGATTTTCATAGACTCTTGTTTTTGTCTGTGTTCATGGACATGACAACAGTGTCATTTTTAAAAACTTGCACTTTGTCATCTGTTTTTATTCCCAAAGACCACATTGTCGTGTAAATGAACAGTCAAAAGTGCATAAAACATTGTCTGTACATGGCCTCTGAGACTCTTAACTGCAAATACTGAATGAAATAATTTAGCTATAGCTGCAAAAACTGGTAGCAAAAGAGGCCATGTCTGTAGTGTAAGCATTATATTTATAACAAAGCATGTTTTAATAGTAGGCTGCATTAATCCCAGACTGCCCTTTAGTCATGGTAGTTGATAATATCAGTAATTGCGGGTTAATAATTTAGCAAATTTTTACACCGTCTTAACTTACCAAGGGCGTAGGTTTGCGCTTGACATTGGTGGGGACTGGGAACGAGTCACCCCCGCCAAGAATGAATATTGTTTATATATATATATATATATATATATATATATATATATATATATATATATATATATATATATATATATTGCTATTTATTATTTAACTGCTATTAAAATGTATTATTAAGTAATTCTATTTTCTTACAATTTATTAAGTTAAATTAAATAGTCATGCGCGTAGCCAAGGGGGGTCAGGTGGTTTAAAAGACCAAAAGTTGGATTATTATTATTATGTTTGAATTTATTTTATTATTCAAATGGCTAAATTCTCACTGAGGAAGGTTGAATGCGTTGGCCAGTTTGTTATTTGCCTAGGCTTCAGTTTTTAATTTAAATCAAGTTAACAGATGTCCCAAAGAAAATTATAATTATAAAATTGTATTTTAAAAATAAGTATATTTACATATTTGCAGAGATAGATGCAAAAACCTCTAAATGCCATTTAATATGTTCTTCTAAAATTTCCATTTTTTCCAACTCCTGTGTGTGGACTCAGTGATTTACCTTTTATAGTGACAAATACGTTCTTTTCATTGCCTTTAAAGAGAAATAACTGAACATAAATATACAAGGCTGAGAAAAATGCTCATTTTACATGGCATTTAGAGGTTTTGGCATCTGTACTGTACTTCATTTCTTTATTCTAAGAATTTAAAGTCCTAATTTCTAGATCAAAGTATTTTTATTATTTATAAAACTTTAATAAAACTTACAGTTTAAACGTGTAAATAAAGCAATTTGACAAAATGGTAGGAAATAGTTTTGGTACATCAAAAAGTGTAGTTATAATAACTATCCAACAAGATTACCCAGCAAAAATTAGCTCTTAATATGTCAATAAAATGTATTATTTATACCTCAGGTGAATAACTGCAAAAAGGTTCAGTTTTTCAGAAAACAAATAACCCCTCCTTTCAATAAGCTGGCTACAGGTCTGAAAGTGTCATGTTAAAATGTTTATTAACTGATAAAGAGAGAGTTTAATAAAGACTTTCGTTCATTTTTCATACAAATTAAACCTGTCTCACAGTACTATTAAAAGATGGAGCACAGGCTGTAGTTTTTCTGACAAATTGTTTCACCTGGACTTGGAGATGTTACTCTAGGAGAACACGCAGGGTTATATACGTTTACATGTGGGTGTTTATTCTGCAGTTAGTTTTCAGGGAACATTGTTCACAGACTATATCAGTCTGTTTTAACATTCGACTGACCGTAAAAGCGGTGAAAACACCAGCAATAGCAGGATTACCATGATGGACTCATTCAGTAGCAAACTTAAGTTTATGTGACTTACACTTTTCGTTGAAAAAAGCTCTTTATGTCCACCTTTTTTTGCTACCTCCATCCTCACTTGTGTGTGTGTCTGTCATACACCTCACACACATCGGGAAATGCCCCCCGCGCAGTTGTTTTGGCGCTGTTTGTATCTGAAACTATGATCTAAAAGCAGCCTCCCGCATGAAAGCAGAGAAAGGCACAGCCAATCACAATGTTCATATGTGTTTGGGGGCGGTGCGACTCGAGGAGAGAACGTGATTTAACCCTTTCAGCATGTCTAGGTTTATACTGACAGCGCGATGTTTTTAAGTGAATTAAATTATTGGTGGGGACATTTCAGTAGTTTGTGGATATTGGTGGGGACACGTCCACGGGGACCATCCACCCTAAATCTACGCCCCTGTAACTTACCCTAGCTGGGAAAACTAAATATAAGGTATTAAATAAAAATTATAAAAGATTATACATTTTAAGAATATTTTTATTTTTATTTTAAACAGACCCAAAAAGATTTACATTTGTTGTAAGTCCATTCCACTTAAACTCGGCGTGACGTCATTTAAAGGGCTAGCGTTGCACCAGACCCCCGTAAGTGGTGTCGTTTGAAAGTGTAGAATCTATATTTTATGCACATATGCATCACTTTGGTTTTTATTCTACTTTCTAAAAGTTATTTACACTTAAATACACAGTATTTTGGATACTCGAGCTAGGTATTTTACATTGGTTCATTTTCATATTTTTTTATATGACACATGTACAAGTTATAGCTCAAATGAAAGCTCTTGCCGGTGCTCATACAGTTCTAGCATTCTTTTTACTGAATTATATTCATATGCCAAACAGTTGTTGAATGAATTGTGGTGTTTCCATGGCGCAGAAATGTAAACAATACATTCATGATCAATAAACAGCCCCAGATAGCACAGACAGCTGTCATCTCACCTTATGCTGTGCCCTTCAGGGCCATTCTCCTCTGTTTTTGAGGTGATGTGCATAAGTAATCCTTTTATATGTCTGACGTGGTCCAAACACAGTAAATTATGTTTGATCAAACAAAAGAATAGTGAAATATGAAAACAATGATCAGTCTCTGTGGCTTGTACAGCACCTCTCATCAGTTGGAATGCAATAACTTTTGCATAGATTATGGTGGAGACCTTTTTCTTTTTTCCTATGATTACAGACATGTGCAGGAACCACCAAAATTATTTACAGCACGCTAGACCACACAGAACCTAAAAGGTAAACTTTCAAATTAGAGTTTATAAAAAAATACAAAAAATACTGTGTTTATTATAACACAGACAACATATACAGATATTTTAAACACTTTCAATAGTGTTTTATGAAAATTCAAAGGGTTATCTTTAAAATGATACCAAACTTTTGCATTTACACCTCTTTATGTAGATTTGGGAAGCTTTTAAATTTGGGTAGGCAAAATCCAGGCAGAAATCCCCAAATAGCAGCAGAGTTTAAGTGGTTAATGTGTTTCATGACACTATAATGAAGGTTCCTCCTACATCATATGTCTAGCCACTAGCAAGCTGGATCTGCCTTTTCTATCTGATAGTGAATTGTAAAAGCGGTCAGCTCATATACTCTCATAGAGAGCAGACACAGAGGTAAAGGTTTACAGTGTCACGAGAACACTGTGACTGGAAAAATGCGCTTAGGAGTGATATTTATTCTAGTGGTCGGTGTAGTCTGTTCTGCAGCGGTGGATCAGAAACCATCCAGGAAGAGCAGCTGGACTGGGAAGCTGTTAGTGGTGCCCATGGATGGAAGTCACTGGACAGGGGTGAAGGCTGTAGCAGAAGAAATGGGACGCAGAGGACACACTGTGATTGTGGTGATTCCAGAGATCAGTGTGCTCTTGGGTCCAGGCCAACACTACATCACTAAGATGTTTTCGGTTAAGTATGACCAAAAGTCATTAAACAAGGTATTGAATGAGCGTGTTCTTGAAGTGACAAATCCAGGAAACTCCTTTTTGAGTACTGTGATTAGAATTGTGTCTAATTTGAGGAGGATGTTTAATACGATGGCTGCAACAAGTGAAAGTCTGTTCCAAGACAAGGAGCTTATAGAGTTTCTGAGAAATGAAAACTTTGATGCAGTTTTAACTGATCCTGTTCTACCAATGGGAGCCATATTGGCGTATAATCTTTCTGTGCCTGCGGTATACTTGCTAAGAGGAATGGCATGTGGCCTTGATGCTACAGCTACAACCTGTCCAAACCCTTCTTCATACATCCCACGTTTCCATACAAGAAACACTGACCGGATGTCTTTTGGTGAGCGTGTAATGAACATGCTTATGAGCATTCTGGAACAAACAGTATGCAAATTTATGTACCGATCCTTTGAGGAGATGATCTTCAACTTCCTGCAGAGAGATGTGAGCATGACTGAGATCCTGAGAACTGGAGCTGTTTGGTTGATGCGTTATGATTTCACACTAGAGTTCCCCAAACCCCTGATGCCCAACATGCAGTTCATAGGAGGAATTAACTGTGGAGTTAGGAACCCACTGACGAAGGTGAGCATCACCCATACAGTGGTCAACATGTGCACTGGATCATTAACTTTCATCAAAGTTCTCGTAAAACTATTCAACATCACCTATTCTTGTCTTAGGACTATATTGAAAAACTTTTTTGATCCTCTTCAGATGTTGACTACTGTAAACACGTTACATGATATTCAGAGGTTTGAGATAAAGCAGCATTCCACTTTTTGGGACATAGGCTACATACACTACCTGACAAAAGTCTTTTTGTTGATCCCAGTTGTAAGGGCAACAGATCATAACTTGACTTTTAGTTGATCATTTGAAA